ATTCTTATCTATGACAAATATTTCTATTAAGTTCTGGGTCGTAATCAGCTTGCTTATGAGAATTTGATGGGTACAAAGTCAAGGCGAGAGACGCTTACACTCATGTTGTGAAGATTCATAAGAAATTGGTTGAAAATACCTATACATATATATGACAGAGTAATTTAATTAGAATCCCAATAGATCAAATGGCTATCATAATCAAAACTCAATTAGCATATATTATTGGATATTTATACATATTTCAATTAAGGGGCGTTCATATGAAATGAATGCATTTACAATAGTTTAGTTCGCACTTATATAAAATAAATATAATGTATATAGCTTAGATAAAAAGGGCCTTGGCTGAATAAATATTTTCAATGGAAAGAAATATGATAGCTGATAATTTATGGTAATTTACTGATGACACATGCTGAAACGTATTCTATGCTAATCTATGTTTATGAATGCTTTTATACACATATATGTATGTCCAAATATATGTACATATGAGCTTGATCTGTATTAAATGTTGGGTTTGCAAGCGTCTGTTCCGGTTAGTCCGAATTTTTAATTCTTTAACATGAGCATTTCTTTTTAATAAATTAATTTTATTTTTTAAGAATTATTTCTAGAGCAGATTATAGGATAGAAACTATATCCTTGAAAGATGGGGAATTGACCTTATAAGCATATATTTACTATATCATAAAGTTGCTCACGCAAGCATTTTGCAAAAAGTTTAGATTACTAAAAGAACTCAGCTTAGGGAAAACCCGTTGTCACATTTTATGTTTTCATTTTGTTTTTAGTGTTTGGCATGTTACCCTACTACATCTATATGGCTCTATATCTGGTGCCCATTATGGTCATACACTCGTTTATGGGACAATTCTCCAGCAGCGGCTTCATCTCCTCCTTTCGAGTCTCGCCCTTTTTCAAAGGTAATATAAGCACATCTTTGAGTTGGATTTTCATATAAATATATTTGTGTTTTAGGAATGGGTTACATGAGTTTGATATTAAGTTTGGCAAGTCTATTATACTACAGCATCTTTGCTATAGTGCCATTGATATTCATAGTGCACTCTCTGCGCCCTGCTTTGCCTTGGAGCTGTGAAAACTTTGTGCCCGACAGAAATATAACAACTGTAAATATGAAAAAGATTTTAAACGCCTAATCAAATTTGTGCTCAAGTCTGAACTTGTATTTAAGGTCTGTAACATGACGCAAAAAGCTGTGGAGACACTTCTGTCCTCGGATAATGATAATTACAATGATTCATATGCATTTACTTTGATACATGTGCCATCCACGATTTTCTTTCAGTAAGTTTTGCAACAGCGGTTTGAACTATTCTTAATGCCAATCTTAACCATCCAATAGAAATCATTATGAGGGATACCGTGATGTAGAATCCTATCATATGCCCGCAAATTCTAGTTTGTCCTGGCACATCGTGGGCTACTCGATTGCCGTTTGGGCCATAATAACATTCATTTTCTACAAATTTTCCGAAACTGCTAAGGTAATTATTAGATGATGATTCTGGGACTATTTAAATGACCCTTTGATTTCCCAGTTTGGCAAATTGATTCGTTATATGGTGATCTTCACTTTGGTCTTGTTGCTGATATGTATGACACGATTCCTCTTTCTACCGGGCGCCTTGGATGGTATTGTCCACTATATGAAACCGCATTTCGAGCATATGTTCGAGGGCGGTCTCTGCATGTCAGTTGTAGTACTGCAAGCCTTCGGATCTGGCTGGGGCACCATCATAGCTTTGTCTAGCTACAACAATTTCAAGACGAACATCATGAACTACAGCTGGATCATCGCCTTCGGCCAGACACTCGTATATATACTGTTTGGCATGGTCACCTTTATGCTAAAACACTATTTCCAAAGTGAGTATTGTTGAACTATTATCCTTTTAGTTATTATTAAGTATTATAGTATTAGTATAAGTATTATCACTAATATAACAACTTTCCCCAAAGAAATCCTCGCACTCATCCAAGTATTAGTATTATTATTACTATCGTTCTTAGTTTAGTGTGTACTTATATCATTATTAGCATTAGTATTACTCATTAGTATAGCTATTATTATCACTATTACTTATTTCTTTTGAATAATTACATGAAATGCCATTAGCTCTTAATGCCGATACTTTCAACTCATTTGTGGAGGCGAATTGGGCATTGTTCTTATCGACTGCCAGTATCCTGTCCACAATGGAATTTCCCAACTTTTGGACAATACTCTACTACACCATGTTGCTGATGGGCTCATTAATTGTGATGGTGGGTA